AGTTGCCGCCGGGTAAGCAGAATATAGAGAATGCGGAGTATAGGAAATCTTCTGTGGGGAAAAAAATGGGAATATGAAGCAAAATACATCTGATTCAGCATCATGCAAGTACCCATCTTCATGTTTATTTTATGATGTTAGATGTAAGGAATTTGTGAGACGCACAAATATTTTCTGCACCATAGTTCCATCCATTTGTCTTACTGTAACAGGAACAGAAATGAAACCTAGCAGTAATCGTACAGCCATCTCTTTACTGAAACCCCCACTCCTTTCAAGCCCTTACTTTCTTTGTGCTTTCATTTTTCTTCTTTGCTCTTAACCGCCAGACCCCCATGATCCATTTTATTTTTTTTATCTCTTGATATGATCAGTAACAAAGTACAAAGACAAATTCTTAAATTCAACAACAGCAAACAGGCGGCCAAAAAAATATAATATTAACACAGTGATGTGAGCATTGTAAAGATATAATTTCGGTGCAGTTATCAGTAGAGTTGCAAATAGACAAGTTAATCAGAAACCTGCCGTCTAAAACGCTCAGAAACAAGCCATAGAAATGATAATAAATCACACACAAAAAAAAAAGAAAAAAGGAATAAAAAACTAAGGATAGGGATGATTGAAAGAATGGTAGGAGGAATATAGAAGAAGAGGAGTAGATGTAGTGCAGGAAAGGGGAACTGGACTCAAAAATCAGTGCTGGATTCCAATAACAGGTAACAATGTTATAAAAGGAAGCACATACATGATAAATAATGTCAGTCAACCTGACCATAGACATGTTGTCTTTATTATTAATAGAAACGTCGGCCATTGAGGGTGGCAGCTAAACTAAGTGTAAAGAAACATTTATTTTCTTGTGTTCGAGATTATCTCACTGTTAAGAAAGTGAAAAGGTCTATTTAAGGCTTGTTCGCACAGTCAGCAGACTTTGGACCAACAGGGGACTATTAGAGATTTAGCAAATCATATTATAATCCAGTTCAGACAAGGCAAAGCCAGGGCAAACATTGCAAAGAACAGGGGAAATAGATTGTTAAATGTCTCCTCTTCTCTATGCTGACTGCCATGTGCAAAGGATAGAGCTTATAGCAATGATTGACAGGGACGTAAGATGGAGGCGCCCAGTTACAGGATAAAGAGGGGGTAATTTCTAAATTATTTTATTGTTCACACCTCACAAATAGAATTTTGTTAAATATAGGGATTAAGTAAACATAATATTAAAAACCCCGGAAATTCAAAATTCCCATTTTTTTTTCTAAATTTCTGCTCTAGAGGTCTCATGATGTTTTCTACTTTCACTAAAGACCCTTTTAGAGATGTTTCTTACAGGGTACACAGTGTTATGTTGAGCATACTCCAACAAAGCAAGTCAGCTCGGCCTCGGCATTGTTATTTTGTGGCACTGTATTATATGTTTTATAAGTGCTACTATTTTAGAAACTGTGCAATAGTTTGTTCTGTCAAGTTCAATGCTAATATCAGGACATCTTCAGAAAGCTGTGCAATTGCCAAAACTGGTAGACCGGCTGCTCGGAGCTTGGTGCAGTGACAGTACCAGCTGGCATCTCACCATGGTGAGGAATTCATATTTGGAACCCTCTGGAGACAGGAGCACTGATTAGCTGCTAATCCTGCTAGGACTGCTCATATAATTGAACCTTTATTATGGGGATTAATGATAAATTCTCAATTTTATAGTTTAAGGGTCTTAGTATTTAGTGTATTTTTGTATGTGTGCAATAAATGCAATGTCCTACCCTGGGGTGTTTTAATTTTACCACATGACAGGAGGCTTTGTATTTTGCATATCTCTCTTTACTAACTCCATACAGCAGTAAAGAAACACATAGAAAAAAGAACCAATCACAGGAGAGCAGGGTGTACATAAGGCAATGTGACCTCATCATTTCCTCTTTCTTTACTGCTCCATCAAGCAGACAGGTCAGAGTATTACTCTTCTCCATTACTTTATGTTTCTATTGCCTCTTTGAGGTTGTTTCTGTATTATATTTTTATATACTTTACTGTATGTTCTTGCTGTGCTTCTGTACTATGTGCAGCTGTGTTTTTTCTATGTTATTTCATAGATATTATGTAGATTTAATGTTATCCTTAATTCATAACCTTTACTTGTGATTAATATCACTTGTAATTTATCAGTTTTATAGGCATTTCACCCTTTGTTTTGATAAGTATTATATGTACTTTATATGTATTTAGTAGATGTCATGTATTTTATAACATGGATTTAATAGGTGTTAGGTGTAAATTTTATAATTGACTTAATAGGTTTTATGTATAATTATGGTAGATGTACTTTATACCATATGTATCATGACCTTTCTGGCGATTTTTCCTGGTCTATACCTGGGGCATCTGGGGACCCTCTTTCCCCGCTTTCCTCCTTCCCCCCAGGATCCCACGGGGATTCTTGGTCTGGCTGGGGCTTAACCCCTTCCCTCCCGCGGTTCCCGTCGGCTCCCACCGGCTCCCGGGCATTAACCCCTTCTTCCGGTCTATCCGTTCGGCCCCTTCCTCCTACAATCCTCAGGGGGACGGCCGGACTCACTGCCCTCGCTCTCTCAGGCTGCCCCATACTGTACACCTGGTAATGTGCTGGATGCTTTCCAACATCCACTACCTTGGTGCAGGGCAGTCTGTGGGGCGACCACGAGGTAGCCCGAGCATGACGTGGCCGGCCATCTTTGATCCCGCGTCTACCGAGACTCCAGGGACCATGTTCCCCCTCCTTTACCCTCGACGGCCATCTTCAATCTCGCGAGATTATGGACGGCCGTTTTGCTACTCTCGCCCACCACAATTTCGGCGTTCGAGAGTAACATATACCTGGGCTGTCAGTTAGCCTAGCTGCTCTTGGGCTCACGATTCTCTGACATGGACGTTGGACCCCAGGGTCCCAAGTTCGAATCCAGGCAAAGGTAAGTATTCTAACTGGCCTTTTATTTACAGATTTGAGTCGTACTCGTGTATAGTGGTTTGAAGTACTGGAACCTTAAAGGGATATCACCCCCAAAGTCCCTTAAAGGGATAGCACCCTCAAATTCCTTAAAGAGACCCTTATAGGGAACTCCTTAAAAGGATACCACTCTGGAACTACTTAAAAGGGATACCAAATCCTTAAAGGGATACCACCCTTGAATTCCTTAAAGGGATAGCACCCTTGGACACAGACTATCAAGATGGTACTGTATCAGTACATATCAGTGATGGTAGATTTGAAGGGATATCACCAGGAATCTACAGCAAGACTCTAGGTCTGGTAATGGATGCTCAAAGGGATGACCCCTATCACTTAAGACTACCTGTCAGAACACGACCGACGACAGAGCTTAGAGCTAGTGCTATATCCTATTATCCCTCAGAGGTCAGTCACTTTTTGTCTCATTACTGCCATATTAGGCACTAAAGGGCTTATTACCCTGTGCCTGCTTGGGGTGCTACCCCTACTACCGTGCTGATTTTTAGAGGTAGCCCTGTGGCCACCTCTGTGATCCTGGGTGAGGCCCAGTTATACAAATCCCAATATTGTGGTTTGCCCTGCTGGGACAATTTGACAACACTAAGTGACAGATACAGAATACCCTGCTGGGGTTATTACACATTACTGTCATTTATACAGACCCTGCTGGGGTCCACTGGCATTATTTACACTACAACAGATACCCTGCTGGGATACCCCATATCACACACCCTGCTGGGGGTGTTTTGGTACTTTGAGACAATAAATTGCACACAATAAGTGCACACTACTGTATATCACACACCCTGCTGGGGTTGTTTTGATACTTTGAGACAATAAATTGCACACAATAAATTTCACACTACTACACCCTGCTGTGCTCTCATCCAGTCTGTTTTATTTGGCCGCGACCCACACTTGACGGGTACATACCCTGCGCACCTGAGGTGATCCCTGACTAGGTATACGCCAATCTATTCGGCAAAAAAGGGGACAGAGTCGCAAGCTTCAGTGCAGTATATCCCTCATGGCAGTGCATTAATTATTGATAGAGCTGTAGGACACTCTCTATCAGGCTGATGGTCAGCACTGATGGGTTCATACCCTGTGCAACTGGGGTGAGCCCCCTACAGCACTGCTGCTTCTACTCCTACCCCTCTCAACAGCGAGCTCGATGATTGAAAATCCGAACTTCGAATCTGGGACTGGCACTTACAGGTTCAGACCCGGTGCTCTTGGGGTGAGACCCCTATGATAGGTGAGTCACACTACCCAACCGAAGGAAGTCTTACAGCAACAGCCTCTACCTACAGCTTATGGAATACCTCCATTGATAATGAATCATGATACGGTACGGGTTTATGCCCTGTACCTATTCTACGGCCTGCAGTTAAAGGCCCATGCCCTATGCACCGGGCCCGGCTAGGCGTGCACTGCACTAAAATGGCATGCGATTACAACCGCTGAACAGGAGTTCCGAGCCACCCACTTAACGATATATATTCCCCTTGTGGTGAATTTAATAATGGAAGAGGTGACTGACACTCTCTATCAGGGCGATGGCCAGCACTTAAGGGTTCATACCCTGTGCACCCGGGGTGAGCCCCCACTATACGTGCGCTGCACGGTGCTGCTGAACGGAGGCAATGCTATGGCAACCTCTGTACTGGGTGAGCCCCAGTCTGTTTTATTTGGCCACGATTCGGAATAGACCCACAAGGGTTTCCGTGAACACTGCCTACTGTCATAGTAGACTGATCTGTTTGCCCTGCATCCTGTGCCTGACTACTGGTTTGTGCCTTACAGAGGGGTATCCCTTACTACGATAAACCTACTTGACAACATTATGCACTTGTGGCTTTGCAGCCTCTTGCTTAGAATGTCTATATCCGCTGATGATCGGACAAACCCATGCCCTTCCATGCCAGTCAGAACGGCTCAGACAACTATAGTGACCAACGGAGGAGGTCTCTCAGGATTCACAACCTTACCATGGGCGATGCTGGACGCCGCCAAACATCGTCCTGGAACGGGCATACAACTTGGGTATATGGACTCAAAAAACAGTTTCTGCTCCTCGCAGGAAACCCCAGTGTTGGCCTCTCCCATAGGATGCCCATAGCAGCACTCCTCCGCACTGACGGATGGTTGGCGGTACTGGGCGCCAAGATAGTCGGAACCCCAGGCACAAGGCACAAAGTTCCGAAGGGAACTTATTAGACATGCAAGGGTCCCACGGCTTTCATAAGGGCCCAAACCCCTAGGAAGGAGGTGGTATGCGATTACCTTTACAAGGGATTCTTTGGAACCAGTTGGCAACAGAGCCGGTCATCGACCACTTCGGGACATTAGACCCGAGATCCGCTACCACTGGCTCTATTACCCATATAGAGCGAGAGTCAACCAATGGTGCTCCAGATAAGCGGACAGAGAACACGGTATGCACAGATACCATCAATATACCTCCTACTACATCCACACGGGATTTCACCACATCTAGGTGAAAGGCACTCAATCCTGGGGAAGACCATTTTCACGTAGTCAACTGACTTGCGTTCAGGACCTAAAGACACGTCAGGACGGTTTCTTGCTTCCCGCTCGACCACCTTACCCTGTTTTCAGGGGACATCTTCTCCTTCCTGATCCAGTAGCTCGGAGCCTGGTGGAACCTGAAACTACAGAAAGAAGTAATGAATACAGGTGTGGAAGACGAGACACTCTCTTCCGGGAGAACCTCATTCAGATCACTCCAACTGAACTGAAACTCATCAACATCCACGTTCATCCGAGAACCGTCTGGAACCTTTTGTAGAAGACTATTCGCTCAGAGGATTCGTAGACTATTCCACAACTTGGGAATATTCGTACGACTCTCCGCAGCACCACCACGACCCTGTACGTTGTATACCTAGACTTCTTGGTCCTATACTTCACAATACATGGATTGATAAAGAACTACTAGTTCGGCTGCACCCTACTGCAGGTAACCACAGATTAGGCGGTCAGGTTTCACATCCACCACGATGGACCAACTCACGTTTATCAGACAACATGTAGGCTCCTTCTTCACAGAAGATCAACCAGTCTCCCGGGGGAGACACATCTCATAGGGGCCGACTGATTTGGATATTACCACTCGTACAGTATAAGTCGAGACACGATGGTGATCGCGCTCCGTCCGACCGGACCTCCCTGGAGGACTTATGCTTCTCATGCTTACAAGGTCTACAGTAATTCTCAAGCAGGCGAGGATCTTCTCCTGCTACATTCATGACGAATAATTCCTCACTGAGCCGTAGGGTACTCACATCTTCTATTCCAGGAGGGTCGGCTACCTGGGGACCTGGACCTGCTTTGGAGGTTTCTTGGCAGGTCAGCAGACGATTGCAGGCTGCCATGGACCTCTTGAGAATCTGGGAACCCAGACCCTACCCCTACATCTGGACATTCCCAGCCTGTCTGGTTCGGTCCTGCATCTTGATCCCTTATGTGAGGATGGAGACGGAACTGCAGCCGGTATCACTTCCTGACGACGCCCAATGGACTAGGATCCTCTAGGATACCAACTACCCAATGTCATACCTCTCCAGCTTATGAGTTGTGGAGGTCGTTCTCCTTTCACTCTACGGGACTAAACATGCTGTTGACAATCGGTCAGGCTTGGTCTTGTATAATTTCCCATTAGATGGTGTATACGCGGGCGCTCAACGGGGAAGACCTCCCCACAATGCCGAATACTGGGTCTCTTGGCACACCGTAGGACTCTTATTTAGTTCTATACTCTTTTCTCAGCGTTAAAAATGCAAAATACAAAGCCTCCTGTCATGTGGTAAAATTGAAGATTATGCTAGCTTTAGTGTACTAATAATCTTAATTTTAATAATGACAGGAGGCGAGTATTTCCCCCCCCTACTTCGCTGCCCACCCTTTCTATTCGTTTGCTTTGCAGATATCAGGTGCTAAGGTAGGTTTGCCTCTCACATTGGTGCTTATATGATATGTTCGTACTTCCATTAATATGGAATCCTCATTAGAGTTCTCATTACAATTACTCAGTTATCAGATTATAGTTACTATATTCTCCAATGGGATGTTAGGTGGTACTTTAATTGGAGTTACATGTTCGTGACTATGTCTAAATCTGTCACACATTCTCTTTTCAGTATGATTCGTCTCTGAAGATAATTGGCAGTTCATGTGAACCTATTGGAGATTTTATCCTTCGGATTTGTCTCAACCCTGAACTCTTTTTCGTTGTTCGTATAGAATTCGTTGGAAGTTTGCTCCTTTGCACATGGGAACTTGGAGTTATTATTAGTTTTATTATTTGCTATATATTTACTTCTGCTCGTTGTCGCTTTCTGAAAGAGGAAATGATAAGGTCACATTGCCTTGTGTACATCCTGCTCTCCTGTGATTGGCTCTTTTTTCTATGTGTTTCTTTACTGCTGTATGGAGTTAGTAAAGAGAGATATGCAAAATACTCGCCTCCTGTCATTATTAAAATTAAGATTATTAGTACACTAAAGCTAGCATAATCTTCAATTCTTTGTTTCAGGTTCTCTCTCTTCACTGTGGGCTAATTATATTATTCCAGGAGAGCCCTCATTGGAACCTCAAGGAAGTATCAATCTTGAAACAAAGTATAACAATCTGGGTTATTCACTAAAGAGAGAATCATCAGGCCAAAATAGCTCAACTGGAAACATTCTCCAAGTCAGCTATGCTTCTAGTTCAGCTACTTTGGACTAAATTTAATATTCACTTTCAATTCAATTTAATTCCAAACAATTCTCACTTTGGTGAATAGTTTACATCCTGGTTTTTAATTTGTCTACATCTTTTTTCCCCTGTTGCATTTCTAATCACAGTTGCGATAGTATTTCATACTTCATTTTATTTTATGAGCATTGTTACCTAGATTGTGATTTTAAAAATTAAAGAAAATTAAAAAATACAAGTTTGCTTGACACAAGACAAAGAAGTGTGTAAATTCAGTGAACATTCTTGGAAAACTGCTTCAAATGTTAATTGTTTTTTAAAGTTCAACCCCATTTGCAGGTTGTCATTAATAAATAATATGGAAAGGGAAGAGCTCCCTCAAGTGGACAGAGCATAAACCACTGATAACTCATACATGTGATATTTATACTTTACTGATAAGATTGAACAGCTAAGGAAATAATTCTCCCACCCTGCCTTTCTCTTTCTCAACCACACATAGATCATGCCTTTCCTACCCTTCAGACTTTCTCCCCGGCTACTGAACAAGAGGTAGCTGCTCTTCTCCTTTCTTCTTGCCCCACCACTTGCCTGCTCGATCCTGTCCCATCTCACCTTATCAGATCTCTCTCCCCTTGTCTTGTGCCTTCCTTAACACACATCTTTGACTGCTCTCTTTTTCTGGTATTGTCCCTGCTGACCTTAAACATGCTACTGTAATACCTATCCTGAAAAAAACATCCCTTGACCCATCCACCCCCTCTAACTATTGTCCCATGTCCCTGCTCCCTTTTTGTTCAAAGCTTCTGGAAAGACTTGTCTTTACCCGTATGTCTCACTTCCTCAATTCCAGCTATCTCCTTGATCCTCTTCAATCTGGCTTCTGCCCCTCCACTCTACTCAGGGTGCTCTTCTTAATGTTACTAATGACCTAATCACAGCTAAGTCCAAAGGCCACTTCTCTATACTAATTATTCTTAACCTCTCTGCTGCCTCTGACACCGTTGATCATGCTCTCCTTCTTCAAACTCCTCAATCACTCGGTCTCTGTGACTTTGTCCTTTTATAATGATACCTCCTCCCCTCGTCCTGTCTCAGTTGGAGTACCCCAAGGCTCTGTCCTTGGTCCCCTTCTATTTTCTCTATATACTGCCTATCTTGGCAAACGTATTGCCTCATTTGGATTCCACTACAACCTGTACGGTGATGACAACCAGTTATATCTCTCCTCCCCGGACCTCTCCCCTGCCGTCCTGCAACGTGTCACTGCTTCACTTTCCTCCATCTCTGACTGGATGTCATCCCGCTTTCTAAAACTAAATATCTCTAAAACTAAACTCCTTGTCTTTCCTCCTCCTAATACTGATCCTCCTCTTTCGCTCTCCCTTGAAGTCAGTGGTATCCACATCAGTCCATCCTTGCAAGCGTGCTGTCTTGGGGTCATATTTGACTCTAGCCTCACCCTCGAGCCTCACATCCAGTATGTTGCCAAATCCTGTAGATTCCATCTTAAAAATATAGCCCACATCCACCCCTTTCTTACACAAGATGCTACCAAGGAGCTTGTTCATGCTCTAGTAACTTCCCACATGGATAATTGTAACCCTCTCCTGATTGGTCTTCCCAAAACCCGTATTGCCCCGCTACAGTCTATAATGAATGTTGCCGCCAGACTGATTTTCCTCTCTAGTCGGTCCTCTGTCACCTCACCCCTCTGTCAGTCCTTACATTGGCTTCTTGTATCCTATAGGAGTCAATTCAAAGTGCTAATCCATACCTATAAAGCATTGAAGAATTCTAGACCCTCATATCTCTTCACAAATCCATAGGTATGCCCCTTCTAGGTCCCTCCACTCTGCCCGTGACCTTCTCCTTTCCGCTGCTTGCACCCGTACAGCCAACTCATGCTTGTAGGACTTCTTGCAGGTGGCTCCCTTCCTATGGAATAGCCTGCCTACTGCCATCAGACTCTCCCCTAGTCTTCAATCATTTAAGAAGTGCCTTAAAACCCATCTCTTAAGGAAAGCTTTATAACCTACCTCACATACCAGTCTCTTACTCTCTCCTAAAGCGCAGCACTCTACTCTCTCCTCCAGCTCTGCTTCACTCAAACCTATTTCCTGTCCTATTGTGTTTTATACCCCACCTCCTGTTGGCGTTATATAAATGGCAATAATAATAATTTATTAAACGTGATAATACATTTATAGTACACACATGTAAGGCCAAGTGTCAGAGCTACACATCCTCATACAGTCTATACATCCACTACAAACAATTCCCAAAATATTTACCTCCATTTAAATTACATCAGTAAATAATATCAGGAACACAAGACATGGACTCACACTAACCACCACCCATAAAACCTCCTCTTTGTTTGTCGAAGCACCAACATCAACAACATGAAAAAAGCATCTTTCGAAATGCACAGACTATTCAACTCCCACTTTAGTGACCAAGACTCAATATGTGTTTTATGTCAGCTTCCATCCTGAAGGCCTCAAGCTACATAACATAATAGCCGTAGTATATAATTGGTACACAGCCATAACAACTATGCTATATAACTGGTGCATAGCCATAACAAAAACACAAACAATCCAGTACCATAACCAATGGTCTATCCTGGTTTTGTGCTGCCCTAGGCATGACAAAACTCAGGCCCATCCCCCCGCTCTGCCTTCTAAATACACATATACACTCAGTGTCAGACACACATATTGACTGACAGACAGACATACACACTCATTAACACACATACAGTCACTAGCAGACACACAGTCACCAACAGACACGTATACACTCTCACTAACAGACATGCATACACACTCACTTACAGACACACACATAGTAACACACTCCCTAACAGACACACAATAACAGAAACACACACACTAACAGACACACACTAACACACATACACTCTCACTAACAGACATACACTCTCACTAACAGACACCCACACACTCAATAACAGACACCCACACACTCACTAACAGACACCCACACACCCTATCTCTGGGAATGCTGGGGTTGATTATCACTTTCCCTGGGGTCCAGTGGGGCTGCTGGGTGGCCGGCCGGTCACTGCAGTCAGCAAGGGAGCACTGATCCTTCTGTTCAGCTCCCTTGCACACCGCGTAGTGATGCCGGGGCTGGAATGACGTCATATTCCGGCATTACTGCGGTGCCCGCAAGGGAGCTGAACAGGAGGATCAGTGCTCCCTCGCTGCCCACCCGGAAAGGTCCACCGCTGCCAGCCTGGGGGACCCTGAGGTG